AAAAAAAAAAAAAAAAAAAAAAAAAGAAAAAGAAAATCTGAAGAGTACCCAAATTGGATTGTGTTTTAATGTACAATGGCTGTATTTTTTCCATGTTAGAAAGATCCTAATGAAAGCACCCATTTTTTTTGTTTCTAAGGGCTTAGTTTTTTTTTTTTTTGCAGAATCCCCAAGGAGATTTACCTAATGGGAGTGGGACCTTAACCTCACTCAGTCACATTGTAGGAGCCAGTGCAGCTGTGAAATTATCTTAGGAACTCAAGCTTCTAACAGAAAAGCAAATAAAAATAATAAAACTTATTTTTTGTATTCACTTATAAATGCTGTTGTACTTAGAGATGATCACTCATATAACATCATTTGTTTTGGTTTGGTTTTTGCCAATTATTTGGTTGTTTATATTTCCAAAAAGTAAATAAAAATTTTTATTTTTTAAAACAAGAGAATTCTGAGGATTGAAAACAGCTCATTTTAGGAATGTCAGTTATTAACCTGAAAGTAACTAATGATTTTATGGTTGGTTACTCTACTAGATGTGAATAAAAATTGTGCCTTTAGCCTTCTATTACATCAGTGGAAACTTAATTGAGATGCATTAATTATGTTCTAGATTGATTCTAAATACAATGTTTTTAATCTAAGTGTGGAGAATTGTAAACATATGGTTGCAACCAGAATTTAAATGATTATAACCTTTTGGCACGGGGTGGTGGCTCATGTATATCATCCAAGCACTTTGGGAGGCTGAGGCAGGTAGAAGGCTTGAAGCCAGGAGTTCGCGACCACGCTGGCCAATGTGGTGAAACTTTGTCTCTACTAAAATACAAAAAATAATAATAATAATAAAATAGCGAGGTGTGGTGGTGCATACCTGTAATCCCAGCTACCTGGGAGGTTTAGCACGAGAATTGCTTGAATCCAGGAAACAGAGGTTGCAGTAAGCTGAGATTGCACCACTGCACTCTAGCCTGGGCGACAGAGTGAGACTCTGTCTCAGAAAATAAAAGATTATAACTTTTTAAAAGTAAAAACTCCAAACATATGTTCTTTTGTGTCATTATTTATAATAAAGAGTGAAAACAATCCAGATGTCCATCAACTGGTGAATGTATAAACAAAATGTGATATATCCATAGAATGGAATATCATTCAATCATATAAAGGAACAAAGACCAGTTACGTGCTATAACATGCATAGACCGTGAAAACATGCTAAGTGGAATTGGATTTTTGCCATTGTTTTTGTTGTGAATGTGGTTAATTTTGCTGTTGTTAATGTGGTTGATTTATTTATTGTTCTAAAGTTTCAGTAGTTTTTGGGGAACAGGTGGTGTTTAGTTGCATGCATAAGTTCTTTAGTGGTGATTTTTGAGATTTTGGTGCATTCATCACCCAAGGAGTGTATAGTGTACCCAGTGTGTAGTCTTTTATCCCTCATCCCCTCCCATCCTTTCCCCTGATTCCCCAGAGTCCATTACATGATTCTTATGCCTTTGCATCCTCATAGCTTAGCTTCCACTTATGAGAACATACAATGTTTGGTTTTCCATTCCTGAGTTATTTAACTTAGAATAATGATCGCCAACTGCCTCTAGGTTGCTGCGAATGCCATTATTTTGTTCTTTATGGCTGAAGTATTCCATGGTGTGTATGTGTATGTGAATGTGTGTGTGTGCGTGTGTATACACACAGACATACATGTTTTTCATGTTTCTTGGCCATTTGTATATCTTAAGAACTGTCAAAAGTCAAAAGGGGAATTGGAGTTTGAGGGAACAATTTTATGGCTGTTTTTCAGTATAATCACCAGGTGAATATAGTTCTGTTCAGCTAGTGTTACTTTAATCCATTATCTGTACCCAGGAAGAGAGACATTTATCACAGAGATAGACACAAACCTGGAATGCTTTTCCCCAAAGGTGAGTAACTATAGTGTGAACCCTAAAATTCACTGCAGATAGGTCCTGATTTGGCGCAAGATATGCTTTATCCACTGATGTGAAATGTCCAGGTGTTTTTTGGTATGGTTTTGTTGGTGAAAAACACAATACTCTCTAATCTAAGGCATCTTCTCCAAATCCCACTGAGGCACAGGTACAGCACAGGGAGGGGGTCATGGAGTTTCCTGTGAGAGATTTGCCTTCTGAACCCTGGGGAGATCCTCCCCACCTTGGGATCTCTGTGAAACTCTGGGGTCTCCTAATTGATCTGGACCAAGTTGTGAGGTGGAATTCCTCCCAGGCTATAGTCTCCCCTCTTCCCCTTCGAATTTTACCAAGACAGATCAGGGTTTTGAGGGTGGGAGTCATAGCGTCGTCGCCTCCCACAGCCCCTGGCTGTGCAGATGGATGAGGCTACAGTGCCTGGATGGAGTAAATCTACTGGGAGCCTGGATTCTTCATCTTGAGGTTGTCCCATCAGCAGCCCCATAGGAAGGGGAACTGCCCTCTCTGGGAGCCTGGCTTTCATTTCCTTATAGATGGGGCTGGGGCAGCCACCAGCTCTCTTCATACATTTCAGACAGAAATGGTGCCTCCCTGATTTTTTTCTGCTATTTGCCTCATCTGTCCTCATCTCATCAAGGGTCAGGACATAGGAGCCAACAGACCCAGCACCTTTCTGAGTCTGTCCTAAGTGAGGGTTACTAGGTGCTTGTTCTTCTCAGAACCTCCCCATGGGTTCTTCTCTCCTTTAAGCTGTCCATCAAAACAGCATCGTGGGATCCTTACCAAGGCAGTCATCTCTCCAGCCCTGGAGATGCTTCGGGGAAGTTGCAGGTCCATGCTGCAGGCAGACTTGTATAAGTAGAGACGT